AGGCCTCAAAGCAAACCCACAGGGTGTGGCAAAGAACTGCACAGACTCATAAGGACACCCCCCTTCCCTAAAGGCTCTCCTCAGTGTCACCTCTGCTTTCTGCCAGGATGTCCACTTGGGGGGGTACTGCTACCAGAAGTAGGACTAGCCCTAGCACCCTACAACCTTCACCCCACTCTGTCTTCCCCTGAAATAAGCCTGCCACTGCGCTGGAGGAGCAAAACCCACAGAAGCCTACAGTCAAAGGGCCACTTCCAGCCACCATGGGCAGGAGCGGCAGGGGGTGTGGGGAGAGCCCAGTGGGACGCACGCGGGGAGTGGGCACTCCCCTTACTTGTTCTTTTAAGTATCACCTTCCCTCCCTCAGGACCGGCCCGGAAGTCTCTCCAAGAGCCCCAAAGTCCAGAAACCCCCACCACAGGATTCAGAAAGAGCGCCCACAGTCCGGGGCCCCACTGAACGGTGGGTACGAGTTTAGGGAGCTGCCGGCCTAGAGCGGGGTGGGGACTGACAAATGAGCCAGGGGCACTGAGAAGGGAAGGAGACCGGGCCGCGGCTCTTCCCCCGTCCCTGCGGCACTGCTGCTGCATCATACCGACTGGGGGGAGGAGAGCCGGGGCCGCCGAGGCCGGCGCCGGGCCGGGACAGACCGACCCCCCAGAGAGTGGACAGAGTGGGACGCGTCCCGGTCCCCCTCCGTCCCAGCCTGCCGACAGTCCTGGTCCGCCTGGGGGAGGACTCCGGGAGGGTGTCTTTATTGTCCCGGGGGCTGGGGCCTGACTCCCTAACAAAGGCCCCGCGCCCCCTCCCCGGCCGGCCTTGCCCCGCCCAAGGGGGACCCAGCCAGGGGGAGAGCAGGGGGCCCCGGCCGCGCCGGGAAGCCGGGGGAAGCCGGGCGTTTCCGCGTCGGCCCGGGGGGAGGGGAAGGGGCGCTGACCCAGACCTGGGGGGAGGGGGCCCAAGCCCCGCCTCGGGCCCCGCCCCCCGCCCCCCGCAGGCCCCTCCCCCGTCCCCGTCTCCGTTCCGTACTCACCCCGCCCGGGGGGCCGCGCCGGGGCCCGGCGGCCTCTCAGGGCCGCGTCCTCCGGCGGCGGCGGCGGCGGCGGCTGCTCCGGAGCCCCATGTCCGTCGGTCCGTCCTCGCCTCTCCCCGGGGCCCAGGGCCCGGGGCCGGGGGGTCGGGCCGCCCCCCCGCCTCGCCGCCTCACCGGGCGGCCATGGCCCCTTCCCCTCCCTTCTTGTC